CACAGCAATGGCTCATTAATTTAACAATTACCTTCAGCTGTGGTTGCCTAGTAACCTACTGTTATGCCGCGGGTGCTCAGGCTGACAGCTGTGCCTTAAACAGGCAGGCAATCCAACTGCAGATGCTGGGCAATTTCCGGAAACTGCTTAAGATAGCCAAGGAGAGAAGGCAAAGAAAAGGTGGAGAGAAGATGCTCTGAATAAGCAAGCAGATAGAGCTCAATCCAGACAGGGAAAAGACTAGTTCTACAGGGAGGAAAATGAGCCCTGGGAAGTTTTTGGCAGAACAGGGTCAGGGCTAATTCTGCAGTCAGGTGTTCAGACTTGTAAGTCACGAACAGGGATTTTTCTAAGTTTTGTTTGAAAGAACCAAGAGACGCGATGACTAAACAGAGTGTTACACTCTCTGGGATCTCAAATAACAGAGCGTCTTGCCCATGGCAGTTCAGGTCTTTTATAGATGGTCAGGGTTGATTAGATGAGGGGCCATCTTGATAGAATGATGGGCGAATTGTTACACGACTCAAGCGTGTAATAATTGGAGCCCTATGAGGAATGCGTTCATATGGGGAAGGACTGCATTCCCACGTGTCTACCATGCGACGTGAACCGCTACCTACTCATACACCTTTGTAATGAGTGATCTGTCTACCTGACAGACACACCACATACACTTCAGACAACTTTCCACCAGCTTGAATTAGGAAGAGAGAGATAATTGTGTCCTGAGATCATATTGTTTCCTTTTTTTTTGCTTTCTCCATATTCTGATTTTAATTTTAGGTCTCCCACCTCAGGTGACATGAGTTTGAGCTATGAGTTTTAGTCAAATTCGCTAAGATAAATTAAAGCAGGAAAAAAATTAAAGCAGGAAAAATGTTTAAAAATCGCATTCTGGGTTTGTTATCCCAATTTGTTCGTACCATACACATAGCTAATGTTAGGGTAGCTACCGCCATATTTAACAGATCCCCCTGGATCTTAGCTGAGCATGGAGGAAATTTGCCACATTAATCTCTGGCAATAACCTTTTTTGAAACATCTGAACTGGACACCTCATTGAGCTATGATGCATAGTATGGAGCAGCAGTGGAATCCTTCGTCTATCAATTTGTTTGTCTGGGGAAGCTCCTTAGGCATCTTCCCTTTACTGGCATCCCGACACGGAAAGAGACAAAGGGTGCTCTGCTGGAGAGAGCTTCCCCTGTTCTCAGTAACTTTAACCGTCTCCTCCTCCTATACGTCTCACTTCTAAATTCAGGAGTTGTAACCTTCCACTACTAATGTGTCATCACCAGACTGAGCTCTCCCTGAAATGAGTCATCTGTCTCTGTCAGCACTACTCTTCCTGTAGAACCGTCTGTCTGCAGTGTTGCTCATCCAGCTTCTCATTACGAGAGCTGGTATCTCACTGTCCCCAGTAAGGGTCTAGCTCCCTATAAGCTGAACATCAGGGACTGTCCATGAGCTCCAATACTCACTAAAATACCTGCCAGTGAAGACCTAGACTATTGACTGACTAAACTTTATATAGAAAATCAGAATTTATACTGGTGTCTCTCTCACGTAGGGCTAAACTTTATGCCACATTTTTACAGTCCGCAGTCTTGCTCTCATGCCCGGTCAGACTTCAATAAGACACTCCTGCAGCCAATAGTATCTCTCCAATGCCCAGCCAGACTGTATGCCACACTCCTGCAGATGTCCACACAAACTTATTTTCATGGCAGTCCTCCACTTGCAGTCAGTGCCTCTCTTATCTTCCTTAACAAATTAATGTACTCTTTTACAGACTGTCTGTGTTCAGGGAGAATCTGTGCCGTCTCTGCATTCCATGAGAGGATGTAACACAGGATTTATAAATAGGAAAAAAAATGAAGAGGATAGCACACAATTATAGCTCATCCAAACAATGGTTCATTATACCTAGCAGTCCCTGCCTGACAGCCTGTCAAATTAAAAAGTTGCAGTTTTACTTTTTCATAAGGGTCCACCCTCTTCAGTGTCCAGCTTTTTAATTTATCAGCTGTCTTCTCCCAACTGACTAGGTAACTAATAAGGGTGGCAGATCACTGCCCACTGTATTCCCCTGCCATCTTGCCTCAACCTGTGAGCTATGTTTGCCACCCTATTTTTTTTCCCGGAGATTTATCTGATGTGTTTATGTTGATGCTAAATTTGTTTCTTTATTGATCATTCTAGATTAGGGCTGGCCGTTATGACCTCAAATCAATATCGTGATAATTTCCCACATTTACCTCAGTAATGATTAATTAAGGATACTTTTTTTGAAACCCTTAAAATTATATGATTACATGATATGCTAAAAGATCACATTTTAAATATGCAAAACTATTAAACTTGGTAAATGTCAGGCACTACAGTTTGAGAAAAATATTTTCTTGAGGGCATAACGTATCTCTTGTCAAGGGCTTGAACGAGTCTTTTGAAACCACTATGCTCCACTGTAGCTATGGGAACGATGTCCTTCACTATGTAGTATGTAATGGTGTTAGTTGTCCTGTTACATAAATCTTTTGCATATTGAATGGCATTAGTAAATGTTTATGTTAGAGGCAGTTGTTTGCGGGAGTCACTTTGGGCTTGAGTGCGTTTGTGAGTCTCTATTTTTTTTGGCCATGTACTCTTCTTATTCCACGACATTGTTGTGTTTCAAGTGATTTATCATTCAAGTGATTTATTAGTTACATGTTGCTTGTGTTACTTTTGGACGTAGAAATGGTTTTCCAACAGAGTTTACATCTGACTTCTCTTTGTCCAGGATCCAGTTTGCTGAAGCCAAAATATGACCAAATGATCGACACTGCATCTTTTTTAGATACCAGCGCATCTTCATTGTATTTGAGTCATCCTTGCCTGACTGGGGTCCAGCATAAGCGCTCATGTTGTCTCATAACCGGCACGCTTCTTTGTGTTGGACGAGGCAGAAGCATGTGACTGGATATGACAGCTGAGTGTTGTAGTTTTTTTAAGGGGACCTCTCATGAAAACACAGTGGGGAAAGCTTTTACCAAACATACCGACATAAGCAATATAAGGTCGGTGAGAGATTCTTATCGTCGGTATAGATAAAGTTTCGATATATCGTCCTGTCCTCTTCTAGGTGCTATAAAATCCTGAGATTTAGGCTCTCTGCTGTTTCCAATGACAACTTCCTGTTTAGAGGAGTAGTCGTGGCCCCAGGATTAGCAGAGAAATTTAAAGGACAGTGTTTTTCACGTTTGTCTGTGTAAATTTTGGTTTGTCCAGTATGTGCAGTGTTTTTTCTTTTCTTCCGAGGGAATCATTGTTAGTCGTTATTCAAATATTGGAGTAACACAAACATTAGAGTTTTCTTTATTCTGTCTTTGAAATCTTATCATGTTTAGTTTTCTTCTGTTTATTTTTTAATTTTACTCCCACTGGTGCCATGAGAGGAGGTTGCCTCCATCACTGTAACAGGTTTAAACTAGGTGGTAGTTCTTCAGGCTGTGTATTTGATTAGTTCAGTCTGAACTGAAGAGATAAAGACCTGGTAGCAGGAGGGGAGTTAGAATTCTGTCTGTGGCTGAGGTGTGCGTGACAGAAACAAGGTGGTGATTTTGCTGTTGCCGATAACCAAGACCCTTACACTGTGTTATTGACATTGAGTCTGTAATGAGTGGGTGCACTGGCCAGTATCAATTATTATTACACGTGAGTATTAGGTAGCATTAAGGTAGAGTATTTGCTCTCTCTTGTGTGATGTACTTGTGTAAGCTTTCTATTAGTGTCTTTTTCAAGTTAAACAGGATTTTTCTCTTAAGTTGATTTCTATTTTTTAAAACAATGTACAATATTTGTTGTGCAATAAATTGGCTTTGCGGATATGTTACTTGTTATAAATGTATTATGACATAATTGTAGATTTCAAATACATGGTTTATTTTTTTATTTGTATTTAAGACTGGAATTGAAATATTTGAATGCAATGTTTTAACATTGCCGTTATAGATGAAACATTTCTTTTTTAATTCTAGTTGGTAGCTGTGTAAGCATTCATAGGCTGCAAAGGAACAAGTAAGGGTTTATTCCATGATAAAAGAAAAGAAACACAACATTCGGCTGTGGAGCCTTCTTCAGGTGTGAGAAAGCCCTGTCTCTGGACTTTCCTCTCATTCATAGCCAGCAGCCATATCACCCTGCAAATAACAACTGGCAACCCACTGAAGCTAAGCAGGTGTTAGCCCGGTCAGTACCTGGTAAAAACTAAGGTTGTTGCTGGAAGAGGTGTTAGTGGGGCCAGCAGGGGGGCGCTCACCCTGCGGTCTATGTGGTTTGTAATGCCCCAGTATAGTGACAGGGAAACTATACATTAAAAAGGCACTGTCCTTCGGATGAGATGTAAAACTGAGGTCCTGACTCTCTGTGGTCATTTAAAATCCTAGGGTGTTTCTTGAAAGAGTAGGGGCGTAACCCCAGCGTCCTTGACAAATTTCCCATTGGCCCTTACCAGTCATGGCCTCCTAATAATCCCCTTCTATGAATTGGCTTCATTACTCTTTTCTCCTCCTCACTGATAACTGATGTGTGGTGGGTGTTCTGGTGCACTATGGCTGCCGTCGCATCATCCAGACGGATGCTGCACATTGGTGGTGGTCGGGGGAAGTCCCCACTTCCTGTAAAGCGCGTTGAGTGGAGTGTCCAGAAAAGCGCTATATAAGTATAAGCAATTGTTATTAATTATTATTATTATTCTCACACCCGAAAAAGGCATCACAGCCAAAATGTTTCATTTTTTCTCTTTTCAGCATGGAATAAATGTTTCTTTTTTGTTCATTCATGATAATTTATTCCTTAATCTTGACATATAACATCTTCTGTACATAAAAGATCAGAAGTTAACTTTTGCTGAATGATATTGTCTTGTATATTACTATGCGGGTACTTTATATTTTTAGTGGGGTTATGTGCTTTTGAACCTGACTTAAAGGCCTTGTCCTCTTGTCCTGTGTTTTCAGTTTCAGCATCCAGTGCTCTCCCCAATACTGGGGAAAGTGCTCCTTATGAACAGCAGCACAGTGAGGAGGAGTGGGGCTCCAGTCTGATGCAGGAGACAGAGCACATTGCTGCTGAAGGGGAAGAGAAATTCTATGAGCAGTACACGGAGAGCAGACGGAGTGTCGAGCATCCGGACTCTGTGCCCATGATGAAGACAGAATCTCAGAGTGAGACACCTCCTAGCCTCTTAGTATCTGAGGAATGTACAGAGAAGATTAATAATCTGGACACCAAGAATATTACTGAAAATTGTAATGATCTGGATTACGTTTCTGTTAAGGAGCAAAAAGAAGTACTAGATGATTTCAATCTTACAGAGCAGGATATGGAGCCCCAGTTGATTGACCCTGCAAAGCAGCAGATTGATGCACCTGGTGAAACAAAGTGGTGTCAAGTGAAGTCAAGTGATTTAATAACACACCAGTTCATTGCAGACCAGAGGAACAGAAACACTCGTTTAGCACCTTGTTCAGATAAAATGGAGAAAATGTCAATACAACACAAACATCAGAAATATTTTCATCAGTCAGTGAAATTAAATAAACACCAGAGCACTCACACAGGGAGGAAGACATTTAGTTGCACTCAGTGTGGGAAGAGATTTAATCTTTTAAGGCACTTAAAAACTCACCAACGCATTCACACAGGAAAGAAACCATTCAGCTGCAGTCAGTGTGGGAAGAGTTTTAGTATTTCAAGCAACTTAAAAACTCACCAACGCATTCACACAGGAGAGAAACCATTCAGCTGCAGTCAATGTGGGAAATGTTTTAGACAGTTGAGCACTTTAAAAACCCACCAGCGTATTCACACAGGGGAGAAACCTTTCATTTGCAGACAGTGTGGGAGGAGTTTTAGCCGGTCTTGCAACTTAAAAGCTCACCAGCTTATTCACACAGTGGATAGAGCATTCAGCTGCAGTCAGTGTGGAAAGCATTTTCGTCTTTTAAAACACTTAAAAGGTCACCAGCTTATTCACACAGGAAAGAAACCATTCAGTTGCAGTCAGTGTGAGAAGAGTTATTTTCATTTACACAAATTAAAAATCCACCAGCGCATTCACACAGGGGAGAGAGCATTCAGTTGCAGTCAGTGTGGGAAGAGTTTTACTCGGCCAGACACATTAAAAACCCACCAGCTTATCCACACAGGAGAGAAACCATTCATTTGTAGTCAGTGTGGAAAGAGTTTTAGTCTTTTAGAACACTTAAAAACCCACCAGCTTATTCATACAGGAGAAAAACCTTTCAGCTGCAGTCATTGTGGGAAATGTTTTAGTCGATCAAGCACCTTAAAAAGCCACCTGCGCACTCACACAGGGGAGAAACCATTTAGCTGCGGTCTGTGTGCGAGGAGTTTTAGTCGGTTAGGCTACTTAAAAACACACCAGCTTATTCACACAGGGGAGAAACCATTCAATTGCAGTCAGTGTGGGAAGACTTTTCGGGAGTCACGTACATTAAAAATGCACCAGCGCATTCACACAGGAGAGAGACCATTCAATTGCAGTCAGTGTGGGAAGAGTTTTAGGGTGTCACGCACTTTAAAAAACCACCAGCGCACTCACACAGGAGAGAAACCATTCAATTGTGGTCAGTGCGGGAAGAGTTTTAGTTTGGCGAGCAACTTAAAAATACATCAGCGCACTCACACTGGAGAGAAACCTTTCAGCTGCAGTCACTGTGGGAAGAGATTTAAACACTCAAGCACCTTAAAAACCCACCAGCTTATTCACACAAGAAAAACAGTGAACCTTTGCACAGAAGGCTAGAATTGGACAATGATTCATTAATATTGTACTTAAAAAAACATCTACATTTCTTCTATTTCTTTTCTAATCTGTTGTGGTATGGTCCAGACCTGAACTAAGCAAGTATCTGTTATCTGTGAAGCATGAAGATTTCAAAGAGCTATTTTAATTGCTCAAACAGTTCTGTAATTTCTATTGCCAACAGATATTCTCTGACACATGAACTTGATTACCTTAGAGAGATTGATCTTTGAGTTTTGTTTTAAATGTGGTCATCTGCACATGCTGAGCAAGAGAGACACATTGTGCGGAGTGCTCTGGAGTGTTCACAGAGAGAGTGTGTGGCATTTCAGAGATACTGGAAGGCAGGGATAACCATTGTGTTATGTCTGGAAACCTCTGTTAAGGTTCTAATGCATCACCATTCCCCGCGTGACGCAAGCAAAGTATAATTCTTATCTTTATAGCGTGCTTGTTTGAGAGCTGGCAACCAGACCGCTGAAGGGTACATTTATAGCCAGCAGTCATGTCACCCTGAAACACACATCTAGTAACCCACTGTAGCTAGGCACGTGTGAGCCTGCTCAGTACCTGGATGAGATGCCTCCTGAGAAAAACTAAGGTTACTGCTGGAAGAGGTGTTAGTGGGGCCTGCAGGGGCACACCCTGTGGTCTGTGTGGGTCCTAATGCCCAAGATGAGACATAAAACTGAGGTCCTGACTCTCTGTGGTCATTAAAAATCCCAGGGTATTTCTCAAAAACAGCAGGGGTGTAACCTTGGTGTCCTGGACAAATTTACCATTGGCTTTACCAATCATTGCCTCCTAATAATCCCCAGCTATGAATTGGCTTCATCACTCTGTTCTCCCCTTTGATAGCTGATGTGTGGTGAACGTTCTTGCACACTGTAGCGGTGAGGCTTATTAATAAAAAAGAATTAAGTGTTCTGAGCTTTCCCAAATGGTCCCATGTCTGTTCATCTCTGTGGTTCAGCCACAGAGAAACTATTCATGCAGGCTGATTTAAGGTTTCCTTTGATAAGGTTTCCTAGGACAGCTCCCAAAGGGGGATGCACTTAGCTAGGCCTGGCTATCATGATCAATGGTCATCCATTGGCGCCTATCTGTCTAGGGAGTGCCAGTTGGACTGCATTACTAAGTGTCAGGAGTAAGTGACTCATATCTCACCTTGATCAACCAATCAGGGACTGGTAGGGCCGAGTAACCCAC